CGCGCGCTCGGAGGGCGTGGGGGTGGGGGGAGCCGTGCCCCCGCCGGGGCTCGCTGGCCTCCCCCCGGGGCTCCGGCTGCCCCCCCCACAGGAGCATATTTGCCATTGAAAGTGTATGGGAGTGGTGCTTCTAAGTCACTTCGGTGTTTTTAAAAATCTCACTCTAAGTATTAAGCATATTTTCATATTATTTCTAAAACTGGGTAAACTTCACCCACAGGTATTTTGTTTGTCACAACATATTGTGTATGTACAGGAGTTCATGTTTTCACCATCTGACTGTTGAGAATTCCCCTGATTAAACCTCTCAAATCATTAACTTCCACCATGTGCCACCTGTGCTGAGGAGACATTGGACAAGATTCTGATCACAGTGAGAATGGTATAAATCTGGCCTGACTTCCGCTGAGTTAAGCCAACTCCATTTTTGCTCTGTGGACACTTCCTAGTGAGAGGTGACACACAAAAGCCAGAAACCATTCAATTCTGCAACAAAGGTTGGTGAATTAGTGGGGGATCTATTTCAGAGGCTCTGCCATTGTGGCAAGTGAAGCACTGCCTCATTTAGAAAAAGCACAACACGAATCAGTGTAAAACACATTCTGTTCTTCTCGATTCTATGCACCATTCATAGATGGTAATTTAACAGGGTAGCCCTTTGAAATGAAGGATCCATATGGGGACAGCTGCTCCAGTGCCCTAAGTGTGTATCCTCGTCCTTCCTATAAGCAGAATAGGAGCATGATTTCACTGAACAGCCTGGCAGCTACTACACAGCATTTAGAGACACTTTCAAAAGTACCCTTACATAAATGGTACATTTGAGCTAAAGCTAGTTACAGTATCTCAACTAAAATTTTGACCTAGAAGCACAATTGATTAAATAACATACTGTGGGTGCCCTTAAAAAGTTTCCTTTTATTTTTTTACCAGTAGGTCAGGTATTACAGGTATGACCATTATTCCCTTTTCTTAGAGTGATGTTCTAGCCTTAAAAAGGTAAAAGGAAACTTTTAAAGGGAATCCACTAAACATCCAGGTAAGTGATTTCTTTTCTCTGGAGGGTGGTTATATTATGATCTAGAACCTGACTGCAGGATATGTGCTGTCAGCATGTGACTAGTAGAGGGGAAATTTCATACAAACACAAAATAGTTAGGCTTCCCCCAGTGTCCAGTATTGCATGACAATGTACATTATATTTATCGCATAACATCTTTCAAACACACTGAGTTAAACCATGCAAGATTTAAATTACGCAGTTACACAGTTAAATAACAGCAGAGGGAAAGGTAAGTGGTGTAGGCAAGGAATAAAAGTTTACTTATTATTTTGCATTAAAAGAGTAAAATGAAATTGTATTAGGTTATCAATATGTTTGAAATTCTTCCCTCATTATGCAAGTTCTTCTAATGCTACTCTGGAAACTACAGTCAGTGCACAATATTTTGTGGCTTCTAAACTCCACTCAACCCAGGTGGTTAATTTCCTAAAACAGTCCCTGATCTTGCAGAGACTTAGGGTACGTCTATACTTACCTCCCGGTCCGGCGGTAAGCAATCGATCTTCTGGGATCGATTTATCGCGTCTTGTCTAGACGCGATAATTTGATCCCGGATCGATCCCGGAAGTGCTCGCCGTCGACGCCGGTACTCCTGCTCCGCGAGCGGAGTATGCGGAGTCGACGGGGGAGCCTGCCTGCCGCGTGTGGACCCGCGGTAAGTTCGAACTAAGATACTTCGACTTCAGCTACGTTATTCACGTAGCTGAAGTTGCGTATCTTAGTTCGAAGGGGGGGGGGTTAGTGTGGACCAGGCCATAGGCATGTGTATAACTTTGCATGTGAGCTGTCCCAGTGACTTCATTGGCACTATTCACTTGCATAAAGTTAGGCATATGCTTAAGTCTTACAGGATTGGGGCCGAACCTTGCTATGGAGTATGTATTATACCTAACAGGAAAAACAGCATTTGTTGCTAGGACATATCTGATTAAAATAATCAAGAACAACACTGATAGTAAAAGAAAACAGGAGCAGCTCGTTGCTTCTCCTGCTCAGCAAGAATAGGTTTAGTGGCTTTAAGGGACTTAAGAAGGCCTTGAAATAATTGAAATTTTTTCTACTTTATTATTAACCACTACTCATGGAGAAAGAAATGACCACTTCCTTCATGTGTCATCAAGGTGTATCTTTTGGCATAGGTTTCAATGCTTGATAACTAGCTAAACCTATTAGTATTAGTTTCTTCATTCCTTTGCCAGCACATATTTTTGTATTGCAGGTTAGTTTAGTCAAACAAAATTACTGTACTTGCCTGCTGATATTAAGTATCTCATGATAATCTTTATACTAGATGTTGAATATCAGTTAGAATTGCCAAAATACCTACTCAGCAATATCACATGTCAGGATAGTAATGTTTTAATATTCATTTATTGAAGGGATTGTCACAATTTTGTGTTTGATCACCCTAAATGATCCTACTCTTGGCATCCAACAAGATTAAATGTCAGAAAACATAAATATTTGCTAACCACATTTTTCTTTTTTCAGGGTAAGGGGATTCTTGGACCAGCAGTAAGTATCATTTTATACAATCTACAGTCCGCAATTGCATAACAAATCAAAGTAATAAAATGAAAAGACAGAATAATAATTTTGGCCCTGATATTCTGTATCTATTCATACATATTTTTACAACTAACATTTTAGACCATTTTAGTCCTTTGGGTGTACAGATGTGTTTCTGAGGGCATAATTTATCTCCTGTTGCTTTGGGAAGATATTTGCCTGTGTACTTAGATCTCTATCATACAGATGATTGTAAATAATTTATACATATTTTTTTCTTTTACTTGGTTATTGTAGGGTCCCCCTGGTGTAGCAGGACTTCCTGGTGAAGTAGGCCGTGTTGGTCCATCCGTGAGTACTGCATTATATTTGCCAGTAATTTGCATTTTCTCACTGGCTGAAAGACACTGTACAGAAGGAAATATAATTATTATACCATCCAAACATGGTTTAGGATATGAGAACAAAAAATATACATAAGTATTTAATTTGATTATTTTTCCTACTGGGATTATAGGGGGAGGATCAGGTTGGTGGAAATCTTGTCAGAAATAAACAAGAATTAATAGCACAAAGATACGGCCATCTGTAATAATAGAATGAAGTGTTTCATACAGTATTCCACACACAAAAAGAATGCTAAGGATGCAAAGGAAGTCACTAAAAAATTAGGAAAGGGCAAAGTTAAGGTTGGCTGTAGAATGTTAACTTTGGCCCCTGGTGCGTATACATTATGTTAAAATCTTTTATTACATGATCACACTCTGGTTTTCCCCACGACCCCTGTCTCATGTCCCTGAATAAGACAGTTCAATATTTCTTTTGATCCTCATCATTCAGTGTGACCCCATTTACTGCACATCAACCAACCCTGCCCTGATTAAGGATTTTTTTTCTCTTTAATTATAGCCTTTTTGTGGCACTGATCTCCAGACTATCTGAATACCTCACAAACATAATTAATTAATTTATCCCCTGGACACCTCTGTGAAGTCAAGAACTATTATTATACCCATTTTCAGAAGGAGAACTGAGACAGAGAGAGATTAAGGACTAGTTTGTATAATGTAAGTACATCCCATCCATTCACAAAGCCATGAGGATGGAGCAGTCCCCGTCGTCTCCTGAGCACATAGCACTTATATTTCACATCTTCAGAGCTCTTTAGAGACATCATGGGTTACACTCTTACCGGAATCAGAGGTGAAACATAGTTCCACCACTCCTTAGGTAGACCAGAAAATAAACTGTAACTCAGAATCTTAATTTCTTTACTTGATCAGGAGTGGGAGGGGGTAGTAGAGTAAATTACTTTATCCCTTTTTGTGGAACAGCTTATTTGCCACTGTTTACATAGATACTCTGACCAGTGAATAGGTGTCCCTCGTCCCTGCCCACCTACCCACTTTTTTCACAGTGGTGGCTACCAGGCAAATGTTAGTAAGGGCAGGTTCAGCATGTTGTCTTATTTTAGTTGATCATTTAACTTCAGTGTGAACCTTTCAAAACACTTTTCAGTCAGTCATATCAAATAAGAACACAGTTAAAAGGTGAGACCAATCAATAACCAATAAGACTTGATTTAAAGTAAGACTTTAGTCAGAAAAATGATATAGAACTCCCACAGTGCTATTTTTACTGAATTATTCTCTTTCACTTACTTCCATATCAAGTTTTCTCAGTTTTATATATCAAAAGATATTAGAGAGACAGGGTAGATGAGGTAATATATATTGTCAGACCAACTTCTGTTGACGGAAGGTACAAGCTTTTCATCAGGAGCTTAAAAAGCTGAATAAGAACAGTGCTTGGATTCAGGGGAAGGATTGGGGAAGGAAGCAGCATGTCTTCTTCCCGAGACCTGTAGAAGAGCTCTGTATAGCTCAAAAACTTGTACCTTATAGCAACAGAAGTTGGTCCAATAATATGTATTACCTCACCTACCTTGTATCACTCATATCCTGGGACCAACATGAGTACAACAACACTGTAAATCAAAAGATTCTAATTCTCAGCTTGGGCTTCAAAAATCTAGTTGTACTCTTTCTGACTTGTACATCCTTCCCAGTGATGAAGTTTCTTGATTCAGAAGTTAGCTGACAATTTTGTGGATGACACGTGAGGCAGAATAGGCTCTAGATTACTTTCAATACTGTACTGGTTCTCCAATGACAACAGTAGTAAAATCTTGGTTTGGGGCCTGCTCTTGCTTCCAGTAAAGACGATTGCAGAGTTCCCATTGGCTTCACAGTACAGGATTAAGCCCTTGTCCTTAAAGCAGGTATGCCTCAAAGACACACACAGAGCAAATAAGGGAGTGTCTGGTTTACACAATTGCTTTTCTGACTATAGCTATACTTTAACAGAGGCTTATGGCATGCATGAGATGGAACAACAGAGAATGCCACAAGTAATGGGGCATAGTAAAATATCACCTCCCAAACATCTTGCATACTACGGTACTTGACAGTATTATTTCACTTGTCATTCTACAGAATTCCTTGGGAGATATCAAACAAAATCAAATGCATTACAGTTCAAATGAAATTTCTGTTGTGACCTCTATTGTGCTGAAAATGGCCATTTCATGGCAGATGTCATGTGATATCTTTTTACTCCCTATTAAATTAGTACCAATGATACTGGTGCTCTATATGAAGTAAAGAGATGACTGGTGTTATTCAAGAAGACTCCTTATGTACCACATCTTTATTTATTTTAGGATTTTCTATCATGTCCATCATCATAGTATCCACACACTTGAATAATAAAAATAAGTCACATGTTGTTTGAGGATTACTCCACACTCTTAGGAGAACTTCGAGCATGTGATACAAGCAAATACAATCTCACACCCATCTCGATTTAAGTTTATTTCCTTATACTCTACAACCAGACCTGTATTCTTGAAATTTGAGTTTTACTGTTCTAAGATTGGTTGCTTAGTCTGTCCTTTTGTGGTTGCCTCACCTTAGCTGCTGCAGGCCTGAATATACAGCTGTTTTATATATCATTGCCATGAATTAATTAAATTTATTCTAAAATATTAGGGTGATGCTGGAAAGAGAGGTCCTCCAGGCCCACCAGGGCCCCCAGGTCCCAGAGTAAGTGGTTATATTTAATATATACTAATGTTTGGATAGGTACTGTGTTCCTGTGTGACCTATAATTTAAATCAGATTCTGTACCAGATGACTGGAGGATAGCTAATGTGATACCAATTTTTAAGAAAAGCTCCAGAGGCGACCCCAGCAATTACAGGCCAGTAAGCCTAACTGCAGTACCAGGCAAATTAGTTGAAACTATACTAAAAAACAGAAATATCAGACACATAGATGAACACAATTTAATAAATAAATTAATTGAGATATCCTATCTCCTAGAACTGGAAGGGACCTTGAAAGGTCATTGAGTCCAGCCCCTTGCCTTCACTAGCAGGACCAAATACTGATTTTTTGCCCCAGATTCCTACGTGGCCCCCTCAAGGATTGAACTCACAACCCTGGGTTTAGCAGGCCAATGCTCAAACCACTGAGCTATCTCTCCGAAGAAGAGGCAACACAGATTTTATAAAAGAAAATCATGCCTCACTAATATATTAGAATTCTTTGAGGGGGTCAGCAAACATGTGGACAAGGATGATCCTGTGGATGTAGTATACTTAGACTTTCAGAAAACACTTGATAAGGTCCCTCACCAAAGGCTCTTAAGCAAAGTAAGCAGTCATGGGATAAGAGGGAAAGTCCTCTCGTGGATCAGTAACTGGTTAAAAGATAGGAAACAAAGGGTAGGAATAAATGGTCAGTTTTCAGAATGGAGAGAGGTGAATAGTGGTGTCCCCCCAGAGGTCTATACTGGGTCCTGTGGTGTTCAACCTATTCATAAATTATCTGGAAAAAAGGGGTAAATAGTCAGGTGGCAAAGTTTGCAGATGATACAAAACTACTCAAAATAGTTAAGTCCAAAGCAGACGGCTAAGAGTTACAAAGGAATCTCACAAAACTGGGTGACTGGGCAACAAAATGACAGATAAAATTCATTGTTGGTAAATGCAAAGTAATGCACATTGGAAAACATAATCCCAACTCTACATATAAAATGATGGGGTTTAAATCAGCTGTTACCACTCAAGAAAGAGATCTTGGAGTCATTGTGGATAGTTCGCTGAAAACATCCACTCAGTGTGCAAAAAAGCTAACAGAATGTTAAGAACCATTAGAAAAGTGATGGATAATAAGACGGAAAAATATCATACTGCCTCTATATAAATCCATGGGACGCCCACATCTTGAATACTGTGCGCAGATCTGGTCACCCCATCTCAAAAAAAGATATATTAGAATTGGAAAAGGTACAGAGAAAGGCAACAAAAATTATTAGGGGAATGGCACAGCTTCTGTATGAGGACAGATTAAAAAGATGGGGACTTTTTAACTTGGAAAGAGACAACTAAGGGCTTGTCTATACTACCTGCTGGATTGGTGGGCAGTGATCGATCCGGGGGGGTCGATTTATCGCATCTAGTATAGACACAATAAATCGACCGCTGAACACTCTCCTGTCGACTCTGGTACTCCACCAGAACGAGAAGCACAAGTGGAGTCAACGGGAGAGAATCAGCTGTCGACGTACCGCAGTGAAAACACCACGGTAAGTAGATCTAAGTACATTGACTTCAGCTATGCTATTCACGTAGCTGAAGTTGCGTATTATAGATTGACCCTGCATGGTAGTGTAGACAAGCCCTAAAGGGGGGCTATGATAGAGGTCTATAAAATCTTGCCTAGTGTAGAGAAAGTGAATAAGGAAGTCAGCTGTCAGTGTGGACAGACTGCAGCGCTTTTTCTACTCAGCTGTACGAAGACAGGTTTAACTCACAGCGCTGTACAGCTGGAGGTGTAGCCATACCCCTAGTGTAATGGATGCAATGATGCCTGCTGGAGTCTGCAGACAGCCTAAAACAATAACTCTAAGAGGCGTGAATTATCCTTTGCATCTCAGTGAAGTGTTAACTCTAAGGCCTACTGCTCTGGTTGGTCCCACCAACAGCACCCAACCAGAGGATTCTGTGTGTCAGGAGGAGAAGTGTGCAGTGGGCCTAGCCCATCAATGCAAGCAGAGACACCCTGCTTCCTGGGTTGAGTACTGGGGGCTCACTTGCTGTCACCCCTGCTTCTTCCACGAAGGTGTCCCCTTCTGCCACTTCTTCTACCTCTCTGGGAGGGAGGTTCACCTTCCACTACCACTTCAAGTGGGACCTGGGGCTACTGTGTAGGGTTGGGGCTGGAGCTGTAAGGGAGGGGTTAGATTCTTAAGTTGGCGCTGTAGTCCAGTACATCTCTAGTCAGAGCATCAGATGTTTCCAAGTACTGTTTTTGTGATTCTCCTCTGTGGGCCTTTTGAGAGGAGGGATATGTATTATGCATTTACCTTTGCAGTATTTTAATTTGCGAGAGGTAGAATTGATGGCAGACCATCATCTGGCAGACAGAGTACATGCTGGGCAATGACACATCAAGTATCTAGGAAATGAGAGTGTCATCTTCATTTCTCTGTAAAAGGCTGACCTACTATCCCTTTGCTAGACAGTCCCAACAGCAATACAGGGATTCTGTTTTCTTGAGGCCATATCTCATTTTCCATGGAAAGTTGCTAGAAAGTGTGAAGTCGCCATTGTGGAAAATATGAAGGATAAAACTGAGAAAAATACCCCGGAAATAAATAGCAACAAACTACACCAGACTCTGCTGCTCCTTCTCTCTTTACACTGAAGATTCCATCCTCCTCAGGCACCACTGCAGTGCACCACCCCCATTCCACTTAAGGCCATTATATTCCCCCAAACTCCCCCAACCTTTCCCAAATATTTGTGCTTCCATGAAAGCCCATCAGTTCTCTCAGAGTCTCATGGTGCTTCCTTACTCAAACAGAAGGCACACCTCTCCATAACAGACTGCCAGATCCTTCCATGAACCCAGTCTTGCTCACATGTGGTTACCTTTCTTCCTAACGTATTCCCCAGTCTTCCCTCAGTAGACTCCATGATCCTCTCCTATTCCCATTAATGCCAGTCCATTTCCTAAGAAACTCATTTTTCTTCTATTGACTGCATCCCTTTTGTACGCAGATCTCTAACTTGCAATTCCAATGGCTGATAGAATTATGAATTGTCTATCAATTCTTCTGCTGCGAGAGGGATCCTTTTTTTCTCTAAAGAATTAAGTCTTGTCCTTATGAATGAGATGGTTTTGTTTCGTATTAAATTATCATCAGAATGTAAGAAAGTGCACCTTCATCTGTTTCATTTACCTAGATAACTTCTTTAAGAACCCCAACTCTGAAAACAATTTTCAGTCAATTACAAAGTAGAAATACTTGTGCTGAGAACATAACATAAGATCTGTGGTGCAACTGGACTACATAGCCAACTGAGATATGGGAACATTTAATACATAGTATTACAAAATCAGATGCAGCTGTTGATATTTAAAAGAAAAATATGCTATGTTTACAGAATACACTGAGTTCATATGTGATTATTAGTCTGAAAGTATAGAAAAATATGTATTGTATTACTTTAGTCTAATTCTCACGTGTGGCTTTCAGTACTTAAAAGAAATCTGTGACGCTTCAAAAACAAAGAGAGTTTTTGCTTTTCAGAAAAGCAAATCCAAGATGGAGGGCAGAATATTGCACACAGACTCCTGCAATTTATGACAATTAAATAAAGCTCCCTTTGCATATGTCTAGATAGCAGTTAAACACCTGCAGCTGGCCGATGTCAGCTGACCTGGGCTCGCGGGGCTTGGACTCCGAGACTGTAAAATTGCGGTGTTTGGGCTCGGGCTGGAAGCTGGCTTCAGGGACCCTTCCCCCTTGCGGGGGTCCCAGAGGTTAGGCTCCAACACAAGCCTGAACATCTAGACTGCAATTTTATAGCCGCAGAGCCTGAACACCATGACACGGGCCAGCCATAGGTGTTTAAGTACACTTTTGGGATTTCAGCCCCAGAGATTATCTGACATTTCTATATCTTCTGCTTTCCTACACTGAAGTGTGTCAGGTGTGGTTTTCGTTGTATGAGACAAGGTTATTTTTTTTCTGTTGTTCACTTTCTAACTTTGAACCTTTTTGTCAAATTTAGGGAACAATTGGGCTGCATGAAGGAGATCCACTGGTAAGACATTTGTTCACCTTTTTGAAAAATACAATCTTAAACCAAAATGTACCTTTTAAAGTTTCTTATCCATGTTAACTCAATGTGTGGATACTTTTTCAGTGTCCCAATGCTTGTGCACCTGGTCGTCCAGGACACGCTGGCCTAATAGGAATGAAGGTAAGAGAACTGATGTACTGAATCACTGATTAGGGTGAGGACTTCCTGGCCTTTGGGTCTCCCATTATATTGTCCAGAAAGCATGGTGCCAAGATACTGGCAAGATCACTTTCCAAAGCATCTACAGTCCCAAAGCTTCAGACATGCTATGTATTCCTCCAAGCCTTTTGATTTTATAGAAGGCCTCAGAATGTCAAATTGAAACAAGCACCTTCTTGACTCACACTTACTTTAGTTTCTTTTATGTTCTTTTGTCTGATTTCTGGGGATACTATCCCTATGAGGGGATTACTAGTGCAGTGTTGGACACACTGATTTACTGGATCTGGGATTAGGTTTTTCTGAAGGTTGCACTACAGCCCATTTCTGAAAGTGTCTAGGTGTGCATGGAGTTGGGGAGGTGTTACAGAAGGTTAGGGGTGGCTCTACGTTTTTTGCCGTCCCAAGCACAGCAGGCAAGCAGCCTTCTGCTGCACGCCTGCGGGCGGTCCGTGGTCACGCGGATTCGGAGGTGTTTCTGCGGGTGATCTACCGGTCCCACGGCTTTGGTGTACCCGCCCCCAAATTGCCACCGAAACCACGGGACCGGCGGACCTCCCGCAGGCACGCCACTGAAGGCCGCCTGACTGCCGCCCTCACAGCAACCAGCATGCCGCCCCCCGCGGCTTGCCGCCCCAGGCACGCGCTTGCTGCGCTGGTGCCTGGAGCCGCCCCTGCAGAAGGTACACCTGGAGAGTGGTAGGCAGGCTATGTTGGAAGAGTGGATTTCTCAAATTCTAAATAAATTGTCTGCACTCTTTTTTTATTCCTTTATTTTAGGGTCACAAAGGAGTAAAAGGAGAGGATGGTGAACCAGGGAAACAAGGTCATAAGGTAAGATAACAGTATTTTAATGGGCAAGCAGTAGTTTAATGGAAGGCAATGATTGGTAGCAAAATAACTGCCAGTTTAGCCTATGATTCAAAAAGAGTCATCTTGTTAGAATCCATCAAAATTATTGATACTTCTGCCAGAAAGAACTGACAGCCCACTTCCTGTATGGCATTTGGGTCACTATCAGCACATTATCTGCTAAGTCATCCCCTCTATTCTGCATTCATTATCACACAGAAATTGGCATTCTCACTTTTCATTTTGACCATCAGAATAATTATTATTGAACTAGCTGCACAATAAAATCAGTATTTATTAATGTTAAAAATTGGGAATTAAGTGCAGAGAGTCTGTAGGAGACTAGAGAATGCTTAGGATGGCACAACTGAGCAGGGAGAGGGCAAAGGAAGAATGAGATGGCAGCATGGGGGGAAAGAGTACATGATGGGGAGGGAGAGGTATAGGAAAGGTCTAGGTAACCACAACAGAGATGAAGGCAAGGACCAAGGACTGAATTGCTTGAAGACTGAACTACATTCTCACCTAAAAACATAATTCATCTGGAATGGGCTTGTTGGATACTTGTGAAGAAATTTGGGGAATCCTGAACTACCTTTACCCATGCTGTAACTTTTTGGTCCACAGAGGACTTCTCTTTCCAAGGCAGGCAATCTAGCACCTTAAAATACCTTAAAAATAAGGAACAAAGTTTGTGCCATAAACCCCTGCTCCATATCCATATATACAATGAAAAGAATATTAACTTCTCAGAAGTAGTCCCCCCCTTTTCAGAATGCTTGAGCTATAGGAGTTGCCAAATCCTTGTTGTGCCCCAGAACAGAGAAGGTACTAGGATGATCCGAGGAATGGAAAACCTGTTGTATGAAAGGAGACTCGAGGAGCTCAGTTTGTTTACCCTAACCAAAGAAGGCAGAGGGGGGATATGATTGCTCTCTTTAAATATATCAGAGGGATAAATACCAGGGAGGGAGAGGAATTATTTCAGCTTAGTACTAATGTGGACACGAGAACAAATGGATATAAACTGGCCGTCGGGAAGTTTAGGCTTGAAATTAGACGACGGTTTCTAACCGTCAGAGGGGTGAAGTTCTGGAACAGCCTTCCGAGGGAAACGGTGGGGGCGAAAGACCTCTCTGGCTTTAAGATTAAGCTTGATAAGTTTATGGAGGGGATGGTTTGATGGGATAACATGATTTTAGTCAATAAGTCAATAACATGCCATCGCTGGTAATTAGTATCAATGGTCAATGTGGGTCTGGCTGGTGAATCTTGCCCGCATGCTCGGGGTTCTGCTGATCGCCATATTTGGGGTCGGGAAGGAATTTTCCTCCAGGGTGGATTGGCAGAGGCCCTGGAGGTTTTTTGCCTTCCTCTGCAGCATGGGGCAGGGGTCGCTTGCTGGAGGATTCTCTGCGACTTGAAGTCTTTAAATCATGATTTGGGGACTTCAACAGCTGAGTCAAGGGAGAGAATTATTCCAGGAGTGGGTGGGTCAGCTTTTGTGGCCTGCATCATGCGGGAGGTCAGACTAGATGATCATAATGGTCCCTTCTGACCTTAAAGTCTATGAGTCTAACCAACCTCTTGTAAATCAGCCTGGCACTGAGAATTGTAGCTCTGCTCTCTAACAGCATAAGGGGGGACGAGGAGGGGGGGGGAAGGGTGTTACCTGGTCACCAGAAAGGTGTCTGGATTAATAAGGCACGGGTTAATAATAACAACACTGAAGGATAATGCTGGATTGCATGTGAGGCTATCAACATACACACCCAGTTTTCAGACTCCGACCTAAACCTCATTACAGTTTTTAAAAATCTGAATTAACAAACCTGGGAATACTAACTTTGAGAAAAATGGAATGATTTAGCTTAAATAAAACATACCCTTGCTATTCTTGAGCAAAATGACCTCCTTATCTTCATTCATATTCCTTCTTGGAACACATTTCTTCCATGAAGCCTATAAAAAATAATTCAGCAAAGAAAGAAGTCTGCAAATTTTTAATACAGAGAGAGTTGAAATGTGTTGCAATTCCCCTTTAATTAAATGAGCCAATGTATTATGTGCCTTAATTTACTATCTGTCTAATGTTAAGTGTAAGCTCTTTGGGGCAGGAAATGTGTCTATGTTGGGTTTCCTTCAATGCTGAGCATGTTGACAGGGATCAGTGAGTAAGAAGTGGTAACTCTTATGCTGATAGTGTTTTCCCTTTCCTGGTATGGATTTGCTTCAGCTTTCTTTCTTTTGTTTTTCCAGGGTGAGGAAGGTGCCCAGGGAGTCCTAGGTGATGTCGGAGCTCAAGGCCCTCCAGTAAAGTATTTCCTTTTTGAATAGCACTATCAATTTGTTTCATGTCACCATATTTGTTTTTTATAAGCAATTAGACATGAAATAATATTACACATCTATCTTTTAATAATAATATCACACTGATTGTGAATAAAGGTAAAAATATTTAAAACTGTGCATAGTAAAACCTCACAGCATGCCCTTTTCTGCTCTCACGGCTTGGTTCTTATAATGCTTTCACATTGTAAATAATTAGTGTGCTCTGTCTTATATTACTTTTTAAACCACAGGGGGGCAACTAGATGATTGAACTGGGCTTTTCTGACCTTACTGTGCATGATTTTGGTGACCTAGGCCCGAACCTGGAAAGATATATATGTGTGCTTAACTTTGAGACTTACGGTACATCTATACTGACAAAAATAAAACAAAAAACAACACAACCCTGCAGCAGTGAGTCTCCGAGCCCAGGGCTACAGATTTGGGCTTGTGTGATGGCGCTCAAAATAGCCATGTAGATATTCTCACTTGGATTGGAGCTTAAGCTCTGAGACCATGCTTCTCACCATGTTTCAGACCCTGAGCTCCAGCCTGAGAGGGAACATCTAACAAGGCTATTTTTAGAAATGTGTGCCCAAGTCTGTAGAACTGGGCTCTGAGACTTGCTGCCATGGGTATTTTTTTTTTTTTTTTTTTTGCAGAGTAGATGTACCCTTAGACTTTGCAGAACTGAGGATTTTGTGGCCACCACTCCTGGGCAGATTGTGGCATACTCCTTCTATAGTTTCATTGTGCCTCCCCCAGGAGTCCTAATTTCCCTGTTCCTGTTTGTTCTTCCTTAGCTGGTTCTCCATGATCAGCCCTCCCTCCAGTTCCCATAGCTAGGACATGCAGTAGGGAACAGAAAGGAGCAAGGGGATCACTCCCACAACACAGCTGGGCCTTAATTATGGCATGCTTACTCCCTTTGTTAGAGTTTGCATAGTCTCTGGTTTCCTGGTGAGTGAGTCAGGAGAAAGAAGTGTGGATGGTGAGGACTTATATTTTTCTGGGATTGAAAAGAGTTCTCTAATGCTTACTGTATCCAGGTTTGACTGGAGATTTGACTAGTGCAATTTTGGGGGAAATTAAATCACTCAGTAGGCCCGAATTATCCTTCACACTCATGACTTTCAAGTCCTAGATCATGGAGGTCCAGACAAACATAAAAGTCTGATTAGAGCTTACAGAAATACAAGAGACTGCATAGAACGAAGACTATAAGCCCTTCTTATCCTTAATACTGATAAAATCTCCCTGATAAAGTAGTTACCTGAGCTCACTGTACTAAAAGATCCATTTTCTGTTCCCAAAGGGGGCCTGTAGTGTTCATCCTCAGCCAGGCCTAGTCATTTAACACACTTGTAGTTAGTGGCCCACGGTCATACAGGTTCTCATGTAGTGTATTCATCAGGAAATAACACATTGCTTTACTCATTTAACTCCACAGCTCTTCAAAATCACAATATTTTAAAGTGTTGTCCACTACAATCCAGGATTCAAGAGGCAGGGAAAGTGATGTCATCTTAAAAAGGGATATGCCAGGCCTGAGGGGGGGCTTTATAGGGAAGATGGTAAGGATTGAAATAGTCTGTAAGGTTTCTTAGAAATAAAAGCCTTAGACCCGGTTCCTCTGTCAGATTTTTTTTCAGGGGTTTACTTCAACTTTATGGTCCTCAGAACAATGAGTGTTTTCCTGTCTCTAATATACAGTTGTGTTTGAGGCCTCAGTGTGGTTTTGGTCAATCTGACTGAGCTACCAGTGTTCTAATTTGATATTTTATTAATTGTACAGTTTTCAAATTACCACATGAATTAAACATTTTAATGCAGAAGCATTTGGCTCTTTTTTATATATAAGGGAAGGAATAAAATAATGACAAAGAAAATATGTAGTATCTTAAGAAGTCTACTATCTGAAAACTACTACATTTCTGATAACAAAATAGCAATATGGGCTAAATTGTCACAATACTTTTCTTATTTTTCATTTCCAGGGGATTCAAGGTTTGAGAGGCATAACTGGTATAATGGGAGCCAAAGGGAACAAAGTAAGTACTAGCAATTATCTCTATAAAATATAATGCAGCTGGTAGTCAGAGGTTGGCTCCACTACATGTAATTTTTAAACCATGGGTCACTATGCAATGGGTGCTTTCTGGGTTTAGCCTTACTTAAACTTTTGATACCCTCCTTTGCTATGCCTGCACTTTCCCTCTCCCACCAAGTATGTTCCAGCAATTGTAACATCATACTTCTGGTCATGAGGACAGCCAACCCATTCCTTTCTGAGTAAATGCCTTCAGTACATCAGCAAATTTTGTTGAAGTGGACTTTCTGAAGTTTCTTACTATTCTCTCCTTCTCCCCAAGACTTAGAGTAGTTTGGCATATCCTCTTGGTGCTGTTGGCAAGGCATCAAGCTTAATTGTGATATTAATTTACAAAGGCCATAACCTTTTGAAATAAAACTAAAGTTTATTGAATATTCATTTCCCCTGATTGTGTCCTCCTCAGCCTTTCTACTTCTTCTGTCTCTAATTTTCACCTGCTTGCCTTGGTACATGGATTACTTTCATTAACTCAGTTTCGATAGAAGTCACTGAACAGAATGGTGCAAATCCAGTCTGTGTATCCAGTGAAAGATATGGAAAGCAAAGCTTTCTTTCTTGTTCTACGATTCCCACCATATATCCCCACTGTCCCCTTCACCTCCCACAGTTATTTGGCCACTTACATTCCTGCCCCAGCTATGTGAAATACTTACTGCCTCTCTCTGAGACACACATTCCTTATTCTTTCTAAATCTTTCCTGAAAACATTTATTTTCACTTTGGCTTATAATTGATTCTCTCTATAAAGCATTTTTGAAGATAGTTTTATGAGACCCTATATAAAAATCAATTGCAATTCACATTTTGGTGTCAGTCCATTATGCTATATATGTGCAGTATGTTTTTGTGTGATGCAGGGAATTAGTTAAGGACAACAATGAATTGTTCTGAAATAGTTCAAAGTGGCTTAATTCATCACTGTCCAGTACGTTTGAGGAATGACATAATTTCATATATAACATTTGCTGGCATTTAATTATATAACTCCCGAAAAGGCAAACTAGAGTTTAAAAAGATTAAAAAGCCACTTTGTGAAAACTGTTTGTATTTATTTTAATAACCGAGAGCCAAATTCAGAGAGGTGCAGGGCACTTGCAATTCCTACCGAAGTAATTGGGATATGTAGGTGCTTGGTATATCTCAGGAAGTCAGCCCTACTATCTTGTGTTATCTCTTTATTCTTAGGGTGCTCGTGGCCTTGATGGTGACCCTGGTCCACGAGGGCTCCCTGGTGGATCTGTAAGTAGAGTTTTGTGTCAGCCAGATCATTCAAAGTGATATTAACTTTTAAGAAAGTTTATAGAAGTAAAGCAGGGGGCTATTTGCTTTGGCAAAGGGTTTTCCCTTAGTACAGGGGAGGGAAAACTACAGCCTGCGGGCCGGATCCGGCCCATCAGGGCTTTCAATCCAGCCCGCGGGATTGCCAGCCCCGTGACTACATCTTGCTCCATGCAGCTCCGGCCTCCAGGGGTGAGGAGGAGTAGCTGGCATATGACCCCTCAGAGATGGCTCTAACTGGTATAAGTCAGAGCAAGCTGAGGAGAGACTTCAGGCTCCTCCAAACTGAGTTAGGCAGAGACTAAGGGAGTCATTATTCGTGTTAAGTATCAGAGGGGTAGCCGTGTTAGTCTGGATTTGCACATGAGTCTGACGAAGTAGGTATTCACCCACGAAAGCTTATGCTCCAATATGTCTGTTAGTCTATAGGTGCCACAGGACTCTTCGTTGATTATTAGTGTTGCTTGTCAGCTTCTCTCTCATTTCCCCTTGGGGTGGGTGTCATGGGAGGGAAGTTATTCTTTGGTAGGCACAGCCTCAGGTGCAGACAGAACCAATCGAACTTCTGTTCTGCTTCCCCTGGGCTTCCACATCCTGACAGAAAAGCAGGGAATGAAGCAACCGGTGCTGCTCCCTCCAGCCTCTTCAGTAATGAGCAGATGCCAAGCGGGTGAGCTGTATAGCAATTACAACAAGGAAGGGACAGCAGTTGCTCAGAGTTCTCCCATCTCACCTCAGAGTTGCTCCTGTGGCTATGGAGAAAGAGGTGTCCCCATCTGGATCCCTGTAGTAATAGGGTTAATTCAAACACTTTGGTTTAACAATTTCAGGGCATTTTCTTCTTGACACAGTTATGCTCAAAGGCCACAATTTAGTCTCTTGAGGACCACAAGCGTCCCCACCCCAGACCCAGGGTTGGACACCACTGCTTTAGAGGCTGCTGTACATTTACAGCTGGCTGCAGCTGTGAGACTTCTGGTTGCATTGGAGCTGTTCTAGTCACACCTCAATTCACGGCAGCACGATGTTTCTGCTATGTGCTTGCTTCATTTTCAGCAGCCCCGACTGCCATGCTACTGGTGCCATGTGTTCCAAAGTTAGCTCAGACGTTCACTCTAACTTTCTCAAAAGTACCTTGTTCAAAATACCAACATCTAGACAATCTCACATGTGTTCTCCTTACTGATGCCAGAGTCACAATGTTCTGCAAGTCCTTATAAAGGCTTCCAAGCTTTTTCCAGGTCTCTGCCCTTTTAGTAAAAGCATGCCCATTTGTGTGTTACATTCAATATTGAAATGCAACAATCACCAAATTTTTAAAGAATGATCAGTACATATATCCTCAGAGAAAATGTTGGGAGACGGCACAATGGGCCTCCTTCTCTTCCCACTTCCCCACTAACCTCCCACATCCCCACTGGTTTCCCAGTTTTTCACTTCTCAAATCCAGCTAAACTAAAGGGAGGAGGGGGGATGAAGGGAAGGAAAAAGTAGATCAAATACCACCACTTATTGTCGGTGACAGTTGCTACTGCTAGGCATCAGCGCCCCAGTTACAAAGGTTTTTAACATTATTCAGGTATAAGCAGATTCTGAGGGAATCTGGAATTAATTGCCCTATACCCCCTAGGATCATTCTACTTCTCTAGTTGTCTCCCCAACCACCCTTCACATAACATTCAACCTTATAGTTGATCTAATTTAATCTCTACTAGACAGGATTTCTTCATGCTTAAGCGCATAATCATAAACTGTACAAATGACAATATATGTAAATAATTCTCTCTCCAGCCCATGATGTAACATTGCACAATTAGCCTGTGTGTGTTTGAGCATTTCTTTCTCAGAAGCCTCAGGAATAGATGATTTCCTGTAACTGATACCAGACAAGATGGGCCAGGTTAGCCTGGTATAACAATTCGTGTTCTTAAAATGGCATATATAAAAAATAAAGAAAAAATGTTTTTTAAAAATTGGGCATAACATACATGCATATCTTTGCCTCTATTCTTGCCCACTATCATAACTCAGCGGCAAGCACTTTTATGTTTTGGAGACACAAGAGTCCCTTGTTTTACAAACAAAACAGAAAAACTTCTCTTTGCATTATTCAGTTGAATGATAAAAATCACAGTGACTCTTCCCTTTCATACATGGGGATAAACAAATCATTTTTGAGTCCAATAGAAGCTAAATGTTGTCCATTTAAACAAGGGCACTTTACCTCTTTTCTAATGATATTTATTATGGTGGGGAAAGCAGCTTGGGTGTTTTAGATGTCATAATAAAAGAAATAAAAGTTAGCCTTATAGCAGAGAAATTGTTCTAATTAAGCACCTTTATTCAGGTGGTATTGTGTATTGTGTAGGTTTTTTCAGACATTTTGAGTCTGATAGTGTTGCTATTGAAGTTAATGGTGTAACTTGATAACAGCAGAACAGGCACTTAGTAAAAAGATGTTTATTTCTTAGTGCCAAGTCTGTAAACTCCCTTTGGGCTCTGAAGGTCAAGCTGGGTTCTTTTCTTTTTGCACATCATTATCCCACATTGGAACCGTTCCATAAAGGGGACCTGGGATCAATGGTGCAGTGCCTAACTTTTAGGTACCTTGCCTCCTAGTGGAATCCTCAGCCCTAAGTTAGGTGCCAGGCTCCTTATACAAGGCATGGGGAGAGTTAGGTACTTAAAGAGATTCACAAAAGCCAGCCAGCTGAGAGGGGAGCTGCCTAAACGAGCCAGTAGGAAATGCTGAGGAGAGGGGTGATATCTAAGCCCAGTTCCCCAAAGTTCTTCCTTGCAAAAACTGAAGAGGAGCTTGTGTCCCATTTTACCCACCCCAGAATACCCTTTATCCCAGTGGTTAGAGCACTCACCCAGGATGTGCGAGACCCAGGCCCACTTTGTGTAGAATACTTAAACACACATTGGAGTAGGGACTGGAACCTGGGTTTCCCAGGTGAGTGCACTAAGCACTGGGCTATAGCATCATTCTTACACTCTCTGTGGCCCAGTGAATATTTAAATAGTTTATATCAAGTGGAAATCAGGCAGAGGGGGGACACATCCTGGGTGAGTGCCCTAACTTCTGGCCTACATCAGGGCCTGTTAACTATAAACTGCACAGGCCAATTAATGTCAATGTAAATTAGACATATTTCATTTAGAATTAGCATCCTCCACAGAAAAAATATAGATGTACTCACCTTCTGAGCGTAAGTACCTAAACACCTGAAACACTGTTTTGATCTAATAAGGGGAAGGGAAGTACCATCTAACATATCTTAAGAAGGTTTGAGAAAACTATATACCTATCTATAATTGCCTAAATGGACTAGTCAGCATGGATACCAGCATACAGTGAATGTAGATATCTTCCCTTCCCATAGTGAAGTGATTCCCTTTTAAGAGGGTTCCACTGAATTACTTTTTAGTTGTTTATAGAGTGAGAGTGCAGCCTAAGCGGAGTATGGGTAAATGTGAAAACACAAGGACATTTAAAAGGCAGTGGTGCTTATTAAAAGCTAGATCTTGCATCTTTATGCACCCAAACTCTAATTGGTTTCACTGGGAGTTTTAGGTGTTCCCAAATAATGCAAGAGTGAGCCATTAAACTGAAATTCACCAGTTAGAGGTCGCTATGTACCATTCAAGACCCACCTAAACCCTTGATTTGGGGCTCAAATGTTGCACAGGGCCAAGCACATGCTCTCTGCACAAGAGTGAATTTCACCTTTGATGTTTTACCTGATTTCATTTAATCAATACGACCAATTGTATTCTGACTTTGTTGCTAAATGAAAATATTTCCTGCAGGGAGACCAGGGACAGAGAGGTCTACGGGGAGAGACAGGTCCGAAGGGAGACAGGGTGAGTTCAAATCATATTTACCAGTAAACACTTAGCAATAATATTATATATCCCATTACGTGTGCTGAAGGTAACTTACCAACTACATCCTTGAATAATCATGTATTGATGCTTCTTGCATATGTCACTTCAATGTATCTTTTTTTTTTAGGGTCCTCAAGGTATTAGAGGAATAACTGGCCTCCCTGGGCCTAAAGGAGAAGCTGTATGTATATCCCATTTATTTAAAAAATTTGTTCTCTATCGTGATCCTTTAGATTGCAAATGCTGGGGAACAGCATTAAGACAGGCAAAGAATGTTCTTTATAACAATATGCTATCTGTGTTTCAAGGGCTTACCGGGGGTTGATGGCCGGGAAGCGATCCCTGGAATGCCTGGAGCAAAGGTAGGCTAACTGTATCCTATCTGGCTATCTCAGTTTACATGTCATTTGATTCACATTGCTCTAACTGTAATAGCTCCACTCACCTATATATTTTGTATGTTTTTCAATTGTGCTACTGCTTTTGGTTTCTGAACGTTACTATGGTAATTTGTAGTAAACTTCCCCAGCCTAAATGTCTAAAATCATACTGTTTCTGCTTTCTAGAAATAAAGGTTTTTTACTTATTTAACTGAAGATTTTATATAATTTATGTAAATCGATTTTTTTTCAGGGTGAACCAGGAAAACCTGGTGCTCCAGGTGATGCAGGACTTCAAGGACTGCCAGTAGGTATCTGATACTTTAAATGTGAAAGTCCTATTCAGTTCAAACACAAAGAAGAGACCAGTTTCTCAGATGCACTTGTGCCAGCTTTTGTGCCCCATCATACCTTGGTGGAAAAACTGAGTGAATGGCCCAGGGAGGATAACTCCAGTGCAAGGGTGATCCTGAAGTGTATAGCCAAAATAGAGGGTTGCACACAAAACAACCTCCTGGCTGTCAGCATAATAGGGAAGTATGTTACTAAAAAAGGGTGGACCAACATGCAACTTCCTTGGGAGTTCTTTCTGGGCTAAGGGTTCAATGCCTTGTGGCTGTTACAGGCAGGCATAAATAACATCCCGCAGGCTACTCTAACAGAGCACATAGTAGAAGGCATGGACATCAGGATCAGAACAGTGTAAGTAGAAGCTTTACACATCACCCCCTGACTCTGTGCACTGTGGGAATATCTGAGCATGTGGCCCAATACGTTTTTAATTTTGCAAAAGTTTATCCAGGTAGTGGAGTTTACTAGACCTTGTCTGATAGTAGGGGTGTCTGAGTGTGGTTTAGTTTTAAGTATAAAGGAATTCGTTTACAAATCAGTAGAATGCTATTTTCATTCTTTCTACCAATATTTATTCTTTATTCAATTCTTTTTACTAATCATCTCTTTATAATTCTATCCACCTATCTATCTAGGTTTATATACTTGCTCATCACACATTGAAATGAAAAGAGTTAAGTGCCTAAATAACTTTCTGAATCCCATCCCGAGTGCCTTATACATTTTAACACAAGCCCAGATTTGTTTGTATTTATTTATCTGGTGTGGGTTTTAGATTTAATGCTGTAGGAGATGAGGCTTGTGGTCATCCTGAGGTGTAGGAGGCATTGCTATTGGGTTTTGTTTTTTTTGGTCTGTCTGAGTTATAGGATTGAAGATATATTCTGATATTTGTGTATTAGGATTTGATTTTGTCTTTATCAACACTGAGGGCTCAGTCCTCAGCTGTACTGATCTTGTGTTTGGGGCAGCTAAGGAGGTGAGGTAGTGAAAGATGGCTTTCCGCCTTTCCTAATCTTGGGACTGGCTGGGAGCCAAAGTGATCCACAATGAAAGTTAGAGCAGCCTAAGGCTGGTTGAATTTACCCAGATGGAACAGTCCCCTGCGGCTGTTCTGCCAGTCTAGGATTGCTGGAGTGCCCCATACTTCCTCTTGCCCCAAAATGTCCCATATGGAAGGGATGTGAGGGAGCTAGTGGCCAGATACCACCCACTTTATGTCAGTGTGGGATTTGCTTGTGATAGGAGAATCTGCAGCTGTCCCATTATGGGGCTCTCCACACTTGGGTGTTATGAGGGTTTAATTTAATTCAAACAGTATAAATAACTAAGAACAAATTGAATCTACCATAAAATACATACATAAAAGGCATAGCACTGCTCTGCTGTTAAAACACACAGTGCTATTCTTAATTCATGTGGATTGGTCACAGTCAAGGAGACGTATACCATACCAGTAAATACATTTTTATGTTTAATCTTGTAGTTTGTAGATTTAAAATGTTGGATATGTTGGGAATATAGATAGTGCATAATGTTCCCAAATTAAAAACCTTATTTCCTTTACATTTGCAGCTAGAGAAAAATTCAGCCTCCAATGCCAGGGTAAAGAATACTTCCTGCACTGGTTACAGTTACTTCTCTCACAATAATTGTTTATTTATGTCAAACCAGTGTCAAGTGTTAAAAGCCCAACAGAAACTTTTTCAAAACATTCTGCTACAGGAGCAGATACCCAGAGAAGATATTGAAGGAACTAAGTTAAAATATCATTTGATGTACAGTTGCATTCTGAAGTTGGTTCTGTTTTTTGCTATGTTTTTTCCTAACTATAGAGAGCACTTGCTGTGAATGGTTGTATACAAGAGAGGGAATGTGGAGTGTAAACAAGAGAGAGGGGTTTTGTAGTCTGAGCATAAGATTAGAGTGGGGAGTTCTGGGTATTATACCCATTTCTGAATCTGGCAGTGGCAGTGACTCATGTTGTGACCCTGAACAAAGCACAATCTTTCACCTCTCTGTGCTGCCTTTTTCCTAACTATAAAATGGGGATAATACTATTTACCTACTTCACAGGGGGATCAGGCTTTATCAATTACTGTTTGGAAAGTGCATCAAGATCTTCAGGTGAAAGGACTCGAAAAGTATAAATTATGATTGTAATAATGTAAAGTTACATTTTTAACAAGTTTCAGCAGGTGCTTTTTGTACATTTCTAGACTCCGTAATAACACACAAATGACATTTAAAATGTTGTTTCTTTTAGGGTTTACCTGGCTCCCCAGGTGCAAATGGTGTTTCTGGCCCAAAGGTAAAATAATTTAAATAATCTACTTCCTTTCCTCTAAAATTGGATTTTGTGTTTATCAAATTTTAAAATAGCCAGTGAAGTTTTGTTCACTTGTCATTGTGGTTAAATGAAAAATAACCATTGACATAAAAAATGATACATGCCAGATAAGTGAACAAAAACTTAATCAATGGTTGGTCTGCAGTTTTTGCAGTTCTTTCATTGTGACAATAGCATTGATCTTGTGTAAAAGATGAAAGGTTTTGTTGATTCAAAACACTTAAAATAATTTTTTTTAAATGCAGCATATAGTAATTCTGTGAAATGAACTGCAGAGGATATCATTGACACATATAGCATAGTACACTTCAAAAAAGGATTAGATATGTTAATAAGAACAGCATATGCAGCTTCATTAAATGGATAAAAAGACAAGAGCTTTCAATTCTAACAGTTCAAATAACTGAAAAATGGCTGTTCCAATTCCGCTCAAACTCTCCACGAATATTCACATAGGGCCTGAACAAAAAGCACGGAAAATTTCAGACCAAAAGAAATTTGAGGAAAAAACCGTGAGCAACTCAAAAAAGAGATTAGACTGGAAGTCGGGATTCATTTAAATCTATGGCATGCTTCCGTGCATCCACTATAATTGGAGTCCCATCAGTGTGATTGGTTGCTGTACAAAAATAAGGGAAGAACTTGGTGGAATTGGATGGAGGAGAATCAGGTGGAGAATAAAGAGTAAGAGCAAAAATGGGTACAGCAGGTGGTTTGATTTCATTGCTTGTTAATTTCTTTGTTAATTCTCTTGAACTGCTATGGTAACTGGTAGCTTGGTATGGCTAACTTTTTCACCTTTCTGTCTAACAGGGTAATGCAGGTGCCCCTGGGATACCAGGTTTAATGGGAAATTCTGGTAAACCTGTAAGATCACTTTTCTTCTTTTCTGAATCTTTCACAAGAACATTTCTATTTTGTGCAAAGAGTCAGTTTTCAAACATGCTCTGTTCTTATCATTATGAAAACAGGGCGAACAAGGACCACAGGGGATAGAGGGACCAATAGGACCAAGGGGTCCACCTGTAAGTACTTGACTTGTTTCCTACTGTGCATATTTGGAACTGTGATGTCTGAGGTCCTGGTTGATGAACCCAACAATGTGGTATACATACTACTTATCACAAGTGCCAGTTACTTAAGGAAAATACTAAGCTCTAACTCCTTAGTCAAGTGGATGCGCATCAACCCACATTAAAAAAGCAGCTGTGCTCACAATTACAGTATATACAGATTTCAGCTGGACTCAAAACAAAACAATTGACACAATTATTCCACAACTTATTTTGGGTGCTGGTGGTGGCGAGTTTGAAATTGAAACATGGATCCTCATTTTGCAGCTAGCCCTTGCTTTCATAATAGGCTGAGCAGAATCCCCAGATCCAAACAGAAGGACCCATGGACACACATGTAGAGACCCCCTGGTCACAAGTGGGAACCAAGCCCAAGACCGTCAACACCAGCAGCACAATCCCTACCACTAAAGCTAAAAAAGTAACTGATTAGCTATCAGTAAAGAGCATGCTCTTATCCTTTTCAGGGCCAGCTATTAGAAACAGACACCATCACATGCTCTGAGACAGTGCTGTCTCCGAACATTGTGGCTTGGATCCTTTCTAATGCTTTTACTAGATATTACTCACTGGTGGAGGGGGCTGGACAGGTAGTGCTTTGAACCATAGTAGTTCCTTCTGGTTGAAAATACTGGTGTTCAGAGGAGCATGTACTTTTGCTGGAGATTGCTTCCACAGCACTAGCCTACTTCAGAAAAACATACAAGAGGTTTTGAAAGATGGCTAGTCCAGGGTAAGAATAAGCCTTGAGGGAGGGTGGGATAGGAGAAGCAAGGAATTACATAGAGAAATATGGTGGCACTCATTGAAGTGTAATGTTGAAGACATAGGGACAGAGTCTATGCTGCGGATGAGATATGAGAGGTGGTCGCTGTAGGGGGCTGGTAACAGCTTTTTGATTTTCTCTCTTTGTCTCTCGCCTGGCCCCAGTCTTGGTCCTGAGAGAAGTTAGAAGAGCATGAGGCTGCTGTAACTTACTGGAAATGGTCCCCAACAGACTGTCTGTGAGTTGGGGATAGCTTTAATGCACTAGAATTCACAGTGTGAGACCATTTGCTGCTCAGAAGAACTCATGCTCCATGACCTCTGTTTGCAAGTTCCTCTCTTGCCATCCCACTCCAGAGGTGCTCACTTGGAGCCTTCAGGCCTTGTGCTGTGATATTACTTGTAAGGGGAACCAGGCAAGGAAACTGGCTCCTATAAACTAATTGCTCTCTGACTTTAAATATTCAACAAATCTCAGCTAAAGAACAAGTTTTCTTTTCCTTTCTGTATGTTTCTGTGGTTTGCATCATCATTTGCTGAATGTACTTTATTACAACACACTATTTTCTTTGGAACACACCTTTGCATGACTTTTGGCCATTGGCTGTCCAAGAAGGATATAAAAATAGATAACATGAATATATATACTCAGCATGTTGTGACACAATATCTCAATGTTAAGCTTGCCATAACTATACTCACCAAAGCTTGGGTTTGTTGGAAGCCTCCAACTGCGTTGTCTTGGATGGAATGGAATTTGTTTTCTGAACTGTTCTCCTGGCACTGAGCTCCTAAATACTTGAGAGACACATAAAAGTTATAGTTAGATCAAGAACAAAGTATCTCTCTACATTGACCATGCAAGATAATCTGCTAAACTATGCTTTTAATCCCATAACATGCAAGTATGAGTTTATGAAATCAGCGGTCCATAGAAACAGGAGTTGACATGCTGGGTTAATTATTAGTAACCCTGTTGTCAGACAGAAACACTCAATGAAGATTAAATACAGTGATTTTTCTGTTTGTCACTGCAGAGATCAGGGGAATGTGTTCCCCTCATTTTGTTTCATCATTCAGTAATGTAACAGATCCCATGGTTGCTCTTCAATGAATTATTTCTTCTTTGTCTTTCCTTCCCCTAATCTCTATTTGGTCACCTCTTTACCACTTATTTCAGTTTCTTCCTTCCTCTCTTCTAACTTTTCCTTTCCTCAAGTCTACACTCTCCATCCTCCTACTGATCATTCCCTTCCTTTTTCTCCTCTCCTGGTTCCTTCTACTGTCAAAGGCCCTCTACTCATACTAAGCCCGTATTCCATGCACCACTCTCATTCCAACCCCTGCTCCCATCTTCCTAGTGGAGGGTTCTGTGGCAGGAGTCAGGAGGGACCTGGAGTTCTTCCCTTTTTCTCCTGACAGAGAAGAGGAGGAGCCACCAAGAAGTCACTGCTATCAGGATCATTTTCTTAATAGGCCCAAGGAAGTGAGAGAACTAGGAAGCCACTGCACCTTCTCATGGGCTAAAAGGAAGGGGTGTCAAAAGGGTTGTGTTACCTCTGTCCTCTGCTTCAGTGCGGTGGAGAGACAACAAGGCTAGTAATTGCTGAAGGGCCGGGACACCCTTCAGTATGGGATGATGGAGCCAACAAGATTAGCACTCCTCCAGTGCGCCTCTGTGGTGTAACTTGATATGGAGGGCGGGGGGTGAGATTCGTGTTTACAAATTTAAACGTGATTTTTTTCTATTTTATTAACAATATTCTCAGGCGGCCTCTTTTATCTAAGCAGCCTGCAAGAGGCACTTACCAATGGAAAATTCCCATTTCTGCTGGCAAGTGAGTTTTCAAGCCCTGTTGCTGCTTCTGTGCACTATTAAATAATGGCTGCATTTCCCTCATTGGCGATTATATTTCAGTGGTGCTCAGAGCAGGACCAACACCAACTAAATCATCATATTGTTAACATATCAGTTTGGGAACCTTTGGGATGTAAGGTGCTATATAAATAGAACAATTTTTATTATTAAAATCCACAGAAGAATATTGTTACCCTGGTTGTTAGCCAGTCAGTGCTCAAAAACCAGAGCTGTCATATCCAATAGCTTAAACATTTATAATAGTTTTTCAGAGGAGGTTTTAATGATTCAAAATGAAGATAATTAGATTACATAGTCTATTCCAACAACAGACAAAATATTTTTTATCTGTTTATTGGAATAGATCATACAATCTTATCTGCTTGACTACTGAAGATTTTCTGTATAGGAAAATAAACACTTGAGAAAATATAATCATCTATCTAATTTTAATTAGAAAATTGGTATGGGCAGTTGAGAAAAAAGCCTGTTATAATTTATGCGCTTTTTATGAAATATTCAACCTTCATTTAATAAAACAGGAAAATGACATGCTTACATTTGTAACAAGAGTACCGTGCAACTTGCATTTTCTAATTTCCAATCAAACATAGCTTCTTTTCAATTGTAATTGTTTTGTCAGTTAACAGTATGTTTGCATCACATTACAAGTCATTCTAAATAATTACTGAACTTGTGGTTTAAATCCTTTTTAAACTGGTCATTGTGGCAGGTGGCCCAAAAGAAATAATTCTTAAACGTCAAAGTGTCAAGCCTAATCAGTGAGGTTGACTGTGTTCCCTTAAGTAATTATCTGCAATTTTTCCCACACATTTATTAAGATTTAGCAGCATTTAATTTTTCATGGTGAATTTATACCAGATACTTGTTCCTTTTGCTTTATTCCCAGCCTTTCTAGTTGGTTAACATTTTGTATAGTTCTGAATTTGTTAAATAGCTTGGTGTTTTAAGCTTTTATAGTAAGTTGAGTAAATAACCTGGAGACATGCATGCATATTAGCTTTTATATATTGGCTGTTTTTTTTTTAAAATGTTTAGTATATACAGTAGTTTTTAGCTAAATTATTTTCTTTATCTGTGCTCTACTGCAAAGATTATTTTCATAGGTACAATTGTAAGACCTTTTTTTCAGCCTGAAATGTATCCTGGATTGCTGTACTAATTGTCCTGTCACTTAAATCAACTTTTTGATACCAGGTCCCTTTACATGCCTGAAGTTTAAAAAGTGGGTCCATTTTCTTCAGTTGGGCATCAACACGGTGGCAGGATAAGTAGTCCGATGTCTTCACCTTCCCAGGATGTACTGTGCATACACAATTTTTTTGGCACTGCTCGTCTGTTTAGTCTTAGAGTTTCACAAACAACCCCTAGGACATAGGGTAGTATTACTATTCCTATTTTAAAGATGCACAGATAGATTAACATCACCCAGGATATGTGAAGCAAAAGAAGAACCCAGGTTTCCTGGTCCTCATTTCTAAGCCATTAGATTCTCCCTCCTGTGCCTGACTTGATTTTGAAAGGATAATGTCTTAGGCTATGTGATCACTTGGCACTTGCAATAAGTGTATATTAATACGTATCAGAGTCTATATTTCTACTGTATTAATATGCATACACACATATCTTTAAATATTTAGCCCAGGTAACTTTAAATAATGCTGGATGGTTAATGGAATGTCACCTGTATTCTTGACGCCATACATTCCATGGATAATTGTTAGTGTAGCATTGGCAGAGAATGTGACATACAGATGTGTGAACATCCTGTCTGACAGCATAAAACTGATATTAAGCCATTTGAAAAAGTTAGCTTTTTTTAAAGATTTTTAATTTTTTGCTGGCAGTCTCAGTTAATTCAGGCTAGAGTGTGGCATGTGGGCTGGAGGGGAGGTGGAGGAGCCGTGCTACGGACAATGTCCCCAGGAAGAACCCTGTCTGGCTCATGGCAAAACTGCCCACATTGCACTCAAATTTACCCCAAAGTGTGTTTATTCTATAGTGGAATAGTAAACTCTAACAGGGCTGGGTCCTTGCCTATCCTACCAGCTGTTTTGCATTACTGGGCCAGACGACTTGTCCCCTTGCATAGCCACCAATGCCCTTCTCTGCTCAGGTGCACCTGAGGATCCAGCAGACAATGGATGGTGCCTTTTATCTGAGGCTCTGAAAGGACACTGGGGCTAGATTGTGGCCGGCCCCTTTACACACCAGCTTGGCAGCTGCATCACCCTTGGAGAGTGTACCCCTCCTCACCCCTTTCCAGGCAGCTATCACCACAGTGGTGCTAGGAAACAGCATGGACTGGGAACATACTTGAGAGACACACAAGTTATAGTTAGATCAAGAACAAAGCACATTCTGCATATGAAGGTCACAATCCTGCTTCCAGTGAAGCCAATGTTAAAACTCCCACTAATTTCAAACAGGGCGGGAGTGGTCCCTCCACAACTTCAAGATGTGTAATATAAAATCTATCTGCCTTATATAAGAGATAAGATAAAACTAATGTGTATAAGTATGAGATGTTCTTTCTTGATGATCAGAACTGGTCATGAAGTCTTTGGTCCACATCCTCGGCCTGCCATCCAGCTGCTTTGCACTGGAGGAGCCAGGATGCTGTTGTAACAGACTATCTATGATCCTATGATATCAGGGCATCCCCAAGTAGCAAAATACCACCTACTTCTGGCCCTTCCACCCCTGCCATGAGTGATGTGCTGGGGGCATGGCCAGAGCTTTTTGTGTTCTGGTGATCCCTGGCCAACAAAATAGATCCTAGGGGATCATTCCTGTCAGGTGTAATGTAGAACAGGTCTTGGGCTGCTTCAAATTATGCCTGGGGCTAATGAAGATCCTGGCTGGCCCTAGGACTGGGAGTTGGTGGTGGTGGAAAAGTGGCTTTGAGTCACTGTCTTCCTGTCTTTCCACTCAGGTCCAGTGTCAAGCACAGCTCATCTGGACCCAAAGATGTGACATTAGTATGAAATAATCTATCCAATAACAGTATCTGTGGTAGCAGGAGATGATATCTTCAGTGTATTTTTTCACCATACTAGGGAAACACTGAAAAATACTGCTATTTGAGGAAAAATTGCAAATTTAGTATCACATGACCAGAACCTGCATGATTCAAGTGCCAAGTAGTTATTCTGTGTCAATGTAATTGTGTTGAAAGGATTTATTTTACTTTCATGTCATTCAGAAATGGTCCTTATGGGGTATCTAGATATAAATGGTTTTTAAACTGATCTTAGTTAAAATTAAATCTTCTTTCTTGAACCTGAAATCTAGAACAATATGTGACAATCCTGGGTAGAAGTGTAATACAGAATTCGTGTGGTTAAATGTAGGATTTACAGAAGATTACTGAGTTTTCTGGGTCATAGGGTGAGGGTCAGACTGTTACTATGAATAATGCTTTCACAAACCATGCAGCAATACTTTTTAAAAAATAATGGCTTTAACAGCACAGGAACTTTGTTGAGGAAATGACTGGGAAAAAATCTTTCTAAATTCTCTGATCTCTCCAGGATACCTCATTATTTTGTGAAAATTTGAGAGTTCAGTCTTTCTAACCTTGTCTGAGAAGCCAATCCATGCATTTATGACATATGGTGTAAAATGCATTTTTCATGTCTCCTTTTATCCACTCATGTCACAATTTCCTTTTCATTCTGAAATAGTAAGTTATCTACTGTATGCCATATTGGAGTAATTAGATCCATTCTCAGCCAGATCTTTTAGAGCCACACACATCAGATTAAAATAACTGGTCTTTATAACTGATAACTTTCACTGCTAAATAAAGAATGTTATAGTCTCATTACATGCTGCATCATGATTTTATAGCAAGTATTCTCCCTAAATTGTATATGGTACAAATGTCAAAAGTCCCCAAAGACCAGATTTTTAAAGGTTTTCAGGTATTGTGGCACTCATCAGTGCAATGGCTAACTGATTTAGGAGCCTAATTCTCATCTTCTAAAGGGATTTAGGCACTTAGGACAATCACTGGGATTTAGGCTCCCAAGGGTCTAAATGCCTCTAGGGCCTGGTCTACACTACGGGATTAATTCGGATTTAGCAGCGTTAATCCGAATTAACCCTTCACCCGTCCACACTACAGAGCCAGTTAATTCGAATTAAAGGGCCCTTTAAATCAATTTCTGTACTCCACCTCGACGAACGGAGTAGAGCCTAAATCGATTTTGTTAATTCGAATTAGGGTTAGTGTGGACGCACACCACCGAATTACTGTGTTTAAGTTAATGGGGTAGTGTGGCCGCACACCACCGAATTAATGTGGTTAAAAACCGAATTAAGGTGCTTAGTGTGGCCGCGCACAATCGAATTTATACAACCTGTTTCCCAAATTCGAATTATCTAAATTCGGATTAATCCTGTAGTGTAGACATACCCTAGAAAGTGAGATGTAGGTTCCTAAATCAGTTGAGCATTGCAACACTGAGCACTGCAATGCCTGAATACCTTTAAAATCTCAGCCTATGTGATTTAGGTGCCTAAGTCCTATTGACTTTCAACAAGAGACTCTTAAGGGGCAGATTTTTAAAGGTATTTAGGTGCCTAAAGATGAAGCTAGGCACTTAGTGGTATGTTCAAAAACACCTAAGTGCCTAACTCCCTTTGAAATATCTTTAAAAATCTGTCCCGAAGTTCCTTTTGAAAATGGGACTTAGGCGCTTTTGAAAATTTCTTCAAATTTTGAAATTCACCCATAGCATATATTTTAAAGAGATAGTGCTGGTATTAATATATGGGTATGATGTCTAAAATATATACATAATTTAAATTTTAATATGTACACATGTCCTAAAGTAAAGATGTGAGGTTAAAGCATAATTAAAGATGTATGCTTGTCCTGACATCCATGACAAAACCCACAAGTTTTAGGGTTTCCCATAAAATTCATGGTCTTTGTTACCTCATTGAGTCTGCTGCTGACCAGAACTCTCCCATGAAATGTTCACATTTGGCTCTGGATGTGTCCACTGTAAGGGAGTATGAGACTTTAGGCTAATAGTTAAAAGCCAGATTATAATATGCAAACTCACACTGGGCCTCATGACCGCACTTATGCATGCACGTAAGTCCCATTGATGAGACTTAAAAGCACATGCCTAAAGTTAAGCATGTGCTTAAGTGCTGTCTTGGATAGGGATAGACTTAATGAAGTGATCAAGTGCTTTCCTGAAGTTGGCTAGTGATGAGCGGCTACTCACTGGAGTAGTCCCACGGAGAGGATCACTTCTGTGAGTAATGGCTAACTGGTGTGAGTTAGGGGTTCACAGACTGTCCCTAAATATTATTAAATAGCAGTAAAATTGTAATTGTAAAATAGAGTTTATTTGTCTGTATTGGGAAATTATGCGAAAAGTCCAGGAATGTAATGTTAATTAACATAGTGTATGCCATGACAGATGTATAGTGATTTTTAAACTACTTTTAAGAACTTTTTAGTTTTATGACTCTTGCATTTGTTTGCATTAATATACATGAGCCTTAAATTAGAGCCCACTGAAAAACAGTAATTGAATCAAGTTTGAGGGGGAAAAAGGTCATTCATTTACAATTAATTAGAAAATAAATATTCAAGGTTGTAACAATGCCCTTCTGTTTCTTAAAAGGGTAGCAGAGGTGAGCCAGGTCCTGCCGGGCCTCCAGGTCCACCAGGGAAACTGGTAAGCAGCATATTTCAATGCCCATCAGCTTATATTTATTTTCCAGGAACTTATGGCATCAGAAGGAATCCTCACTCCCCTATTCATTTACACAGGGAGTCAAGGGAGTATGATGAAAAGGATGATTGATAAGCTTCCTTTTCAGTACTTTGTGTCTGTACTAAAATCACAATGTTCAAATTTTAAAGCATATGAAAATGTGTTGAGAATGTATTGTGGTTATAAGAGGTGGCAAGATAGAAAAAGCATAAAGCTTTTTTGTTTTGTGTGAAGCCAAAGCTGTAAGATTGTGTGCGCTATGCATTTTCAAGAAGCAGGAGTGGTGAAAGAACAGCTCTTTGCTAGCAGCTACCTAGAACTAATGAATGGGACAGATCATGAATACCCTCTTGTACTACCACTCAAACAATATTTACACAGTACTAGTTAGAAGCACAGTTGGAGAGGTCTGAGCTGAAAGAGCCTGCTGTTAAGGAGGAATGTACAAGCCATGGGGGATAAATGACAGGAATTTTTTGTTAAGAACTAAACTATTTAGCACTAGGGCTGGAGGGGAAAGTCCAATAAGTGCTGCTATTTGTGTTCGTCAATAATAAGTTCCTCAAAAGTACTGTTCAGATGAGCAAGATTCTGCAATCTCCACTCACACAGAGTATGCCCTGACTGTATGAGCTGGGACTACTCTGGGAATAAAATCCTACTCAATGTGTGTAAGGGGCCCAGAAACTGGCCCTTGGTTATAGTTATCCATTGGTTCTACCCAGAAACAATACTGGGAAGTTTCCATCCTTGGTTTGTTTTCACAGGGTCCTGAAGGGGACCTAGGACTACCGGGACTGCCAGGTCCTTCAGGCCTGCCTGGCGCCAAAGGTGACAGGGTAAGAAATGCGCTCGAATGCACCGTGAAGAATGGCAACATGAGGAATACAATGATTTTAACATCACTCATTCATTGTTATGATTATTAATTTCTCAGAGTTTCTTGTTTCACACCAAAATCAATTATAGCTGCTTAAAAGTTGGGTGCTCTAAATGTCCGATGGCTAATTAAGGCTCATAAGAATCTACCAAAAAAATCCACCCTGTAAATAAATACGGTTACAGATAAAATTTTCAAAAGTGTCTAAGTCCCTTTGAAAATCACTGATTTAGGCACTCCTGAAAATGGGAAGTCACTGAAAATGTTACCCTACTTCAGTATCTGCAATGTTTCTATGTACTCTGTATATACTATAGAAATATAGTGACTGCTGCAACTTCTGAGGCTATCTATGCACATTCACAAGATACAAGTATCTCAAACAGTATTTTGTAGGGAAAAATTGGGCCCCTGAGAAGCCTCAGAATTCCTACTCACTTGCTGGAGATTTCCTGCCTTGCAGGATGAATGTCACTGAATAACAGTGGATTCTTATACAAAATATACGCTTTTCCTCCAGTCGCTCGGGGAAGGACATGGAGAGCGCACATTGGTGATGTAGCGAGGCTAGGCGGGGGTTGTGGTTGTGGTTTATGCCCCCTTACTCTTGTGCTTGCCCACAGAAGGCTTAGTGACAATTTTTTAAATTACTTATCTAGGTAAATTGGCAAGTTTTTAAGGGCCACCTTGAACATTTGTCCTCTCTGTATTACTATCAAGTTAGTATATTTCTGTGTGGTTTTTCAGAATGTTGACTTCAGGTACACACACTCCTAGCCAGCTGTCAATGTTGCCAGATAGGAATCTGCAAATTCCTCTTTTTAGTAGATCAAAGTGTCTTTCATAGTTTCTGAGAGTACATCCAGCTGACTTCCATTTGTGTAAGTGATTTCTGAGAATATTTCTAAATTTGCTTTAGGGCCAAATTCATTCCCAGTGTAACTCCCTTAAAATAAATAGTTATGCTAGGAATTAATTCAGCTCATTGTTTCTTTTTACTTTTCCTATTTTGAGAGAGAGCCCTATATATAAAACCATATTTTTAGTTTATTTCCTTTTTCATCCCATAGAGGCCATGCCTTCCACTGAGCCTTCCCACCCTGCTGGTCCAGAAGATTTGGAAATGTCTACCTCTGGAGCCAGTCTCAGGCTTAGACAATGGGGTCACTCCAGACTGATGCAAAGTCATCAGTGTCCCCCTCCTCCCTTCCTGATTTCCTGGGGACTGGATGTGTTTTGCAAGCAATGTATCCAGCCTTAGTTGAATCAAAAACCCAGTGATATGTGCATTAAGAGGTGATGTACAGAGCAACCAGAAGAAGATATTTGCAATGCATGACAATTCATTTTAACAGTCCTTCCAAACCCAGGACTTATGCCACATATTCTTCATCACCATTCACTGGGACCTGTTCTATTTACCTGTATACAAATATAGAGTACTCCTGTAACTGCATGGTAGCACTTTGGTGGATCTTTCATATTTATGTTGGGAAGTGGGGGGAAAGCAATGCCAGCTCTTATGTCTCACACTATTTCTGATTCACCATATTTTGGTCTGTTTACCTATGGCTTTTCTGTGGCCCGTCTTTGAGTGGCAGTTCAAGTCCTTTGTGATGATGGCATTGGTCTTATGAATACCTTTCCACTATGAATTGGACAGAGATAATCAATATAGGGCCTGATCCAAAGCCCAGTGAAGCTCATAGGAGTATTTCCAATGATTTTACAAAGACCTTAATGAACAGCCAGTACATCATAGTCACTTTTGGTCACTACCCTCCTGCTTTGAATCTGAACTGGAGTGAAATACTCTGTTTGGCTATTAGGCAGGATGGGCAGGAATGGTGTCCCTAGCCTCTGTTTGCCAGAAGCTGGGAATGAGCGACGGGAGATGGATCACTTGATGATTACCTGTTCTATTCATTCCCTCTGGGGCACCTGGCATTGGCCACTGTCGGAAGACAGGATACTGGGCTAGATGGACCTTTGGTCTGACCCAGTAGGGCCATTCTTATGTTCCTATGGCCAAATGATTGAATTTTCTATTCCCCAAGTATAAACATTCTGAACAAGTGTGTCTAGAGATGGACAAAGGAGATTGGAAAATTTCAGAATGAGCCCTACGTGACATTTGATCTAATTGGATACAAAGATTTACTAGTGCCTTCCCTCCTCTCTCTGTCCTTATCACTATCCTTCCCCGTAGGAAATATCAGAAGAACAGAGGACTCAGATCTAATCTTTGTCTCTGAGTGAATCTGATTTATAAGTACACCAAAAAAGCTCCTGAACTGGTTGTTCTGCAGTGTTGTTGCAATAATACAACAGCAATTGAGACCCAAATATCTCTAGGAGTACTTTTGATAAAATAAATTTTAAAATGGAGGAAGGAAGAAAAAGCTGCTTTCAGATCCAAATAGTCCAGAAATGCTGGTTCAAGATAACAGCCTCTTAGTTCTGACCAGAGTGAAATATAAAATCCCTCTTTACATTCAGTGATTTCTAGGTTCTAAAATATTTTGTTTTTTATTTTACATTTAGGGATTGGTTGGTGAGCCAGGGCCTAAAGGTGAACAAGTAAGTCTTCTAATATTAATTATGATATCAATCACTGTACTCTCTAGAATCATCAAATTTTAAGGAGCGTAAGACTCTTACAGCATGTGTCTTGTTTTGATACAGGGTCCTGCTGGAGGAGAAGGAGAACCAGGAGAAAGGGGTGACCTGGTAAGACATTATTTTCACTTAATCTGTTTTAAGATGTTCTTATGTGAATGATACTAACTTTTTTGTTTTATCCGTTGAAGAAACTTTTCCAACATGATTTTTTCCCATTAGAAACCAAATCTCAGTGTTATCATATAATTTTATCACTGCAGAAGTAGAGTGGATGTATTGGTTACACTGCAGAGTTTTGCAGTGTCCTTTGGGACCTGCTGCACCAATGTCTCAGTTTTGAAATCCCCTGGCTCCTCTGAAACATTAAAAGCCTTGATTTTGTTTTTAAAACTATATGTAAAAAAGGAAACATCAGCACACTTGTCCATCAGGTCCAATATGCTGCTTCTGCCAATGGCCAATACCTGATGCTTCAAAGGAAGATATACCCTTCTTCTACTTGTAAAGCAATATACTAACCAATTGTATAATGCAGTAGTCTGGACAAGAAAATTAATTCCTAACTCCTGCAACGATCAGCTTACTTCCTAACGTATGACATTTGATTACCCTTATGTCAGCAATTAAAAGTTTTTAAAATTGAAATAGGGACTCCAGGGGATTTGCTCTTCAGCAAGTGTGGTTCCCGTGAAGCAAAATTTTGAGTCTGCTACTAGTGAGTCAGTTTCTAAAGTGATGACATGGCATGTTCTATACTAAACACAAAAATATAACCGTAGGTACATTTATTTGTAAAAACAGTTACTACATAGTAATTGTAATTATAGTAAATGCCCATTCCCAGCCCTGGGAAACCTGCTACTCCACTACAAGCTATCACGGATTGGGAGAGCAACCACTTTCAGGCAGGACTGGATTAATTCTCCTGTGGGCCCAGGGCTATTAGATTTTGTGGGGCCCTGTATACAAGTCTTTTCACTAATTGAAAACAAAATGAGCACAATTATGGCATCGAGGCTATTAACGCTATACTAAACTTGCCTTTTAATTAACATTAAGCCATTCTGTGGTTACATTTCAGTTTTAAAACATATAGAATATAGTTAAGTTAATTCAAAATAGCCTACTTCTTACCTTGGAACAGCTGTTATATTTGTTTCTTTCCGAGAGGGAGTTTGGCTGCAGGAGGGGGTTCCAGACTGGGGCAGAGTGTTGGGGTATGGGCTCTGGAAGGGAGTTTGGTGCAGGAGGGGATTCTGACCTGGGGCAGGGGGTGCTTACCACAGGCGGCCCCAGGCCGGCAGCGCAGCAGGGCTCTGGCAGGCTGCCTGCCTGCATGCTGTGGCCCCACGCCACTCGCAGAAGCAGCCAGCTGCTGGCACATCTCTGCGTGCCCCTGAGGGGAGGGGGACAGCATGTCTCTATGCGCTGCCTGCACCCACAAGTGCCGCCCTCGCAGCTCCCATTGGGAGCTGTGGGGACAGTGCTGGGGGCGGGGGCAGCACGTGGCGCCACCTCCCCCCCCCCCCCCACCAGGGACCACAGAGACGTGCCAGCAGCCAGCCACTTCCGGGAGCGGCGTGGGGCCACGGCATGCAGGCAGCCTGCCTGAGCCCTGCTGCGCCGAGGCCCCCTTTTGCCCAGGGCCCTGGGCTGCAGCCCCTAAAGCCCCTGCGTTAATCCGGTCCTGCTTTCAGGGAAATATCTCCATTGGTATTATGATAAAATGCATCTATACATCATTATGATAGTAATTTGAGCTTGGTGTAGGACAGTAATTTTGTTTCACAGAGGATTTTGAGATTTCCAAAACTGGTTCTGTTATGATTTGGAACAGAAACCATATCTGCACATGTGGCAGAATGGACTCGCCGTCCCTATCTGAAACCCTAGGTCAGTGGTGGGCAATCTGCGGCTCGTCAGGGTAATCTGCTGCCGGGCCGTGAGACAGTTTGTTTACATTGACTGTCCGCAGGCATGGCTGCCTGTATCTCCCAGTGGCCGCGGTTAGCAATTGGCCGGGAATGGTGAACCACGGCCACTGGGAGCTGTGAGTGGCCATGCCTGCGGACAGTCAATGTAAACACTGTCTTGCGGCCTGCCAGCGGATTACCCTGACGGGCTGTGTGTGGCCTGTGGGCCGCAGGTTGCCCACCACTGCTCTAGGTACATACTCAGGGCGGCTAGCTTATCTCTCTGTCTGTTCAGCCGCAGCCACATTGCTATTTTTAGCATGCTAGCTCAATCAAAGCTAGCCCAGATATGTCTACCCAACCTGGAAATTATACCTCCAGCCAGGGCCGGCTCCAGGCGCCAGCTTGCCAAGCAGGTGCTTGGGGCAGCCACTCCGGAGAGGGGCGGCACGTCCAGCTATTCGGCGGCAATTTGGCGGATGGTCCCTCACTCCCGCTCGGGGCAAAGGACCTCCCGCCGAATTGCCGCCGCAGATCACGATCGCGGCTTTTTTTTGTTTGTTTTTTGTTTTGTTTTTTTTTGCGCTGCTTGGGGCGGCAAAAACCCTGGAGCCGGCCCTGCCTCCAGCTCCAGTGTAACATACCTTCAGGCAGCCCATCAGGCAACCTGCCCCAGAGCTGGGGAGCCTGGGCTGCTGAGGCTGGGAGCTTGGTGACTTTTGGCTCCCCATCAGCTAGTCAGGCTGCCCACCAGTAAGCTGGGCAGGCAAGATGGCAGGAAAACAGGCAGGTTTTGAAACCTGCCTGGCTTCCGGGGGAGTTTTGTTGAAAGTGACGCGGTCCCGCAGAACATTCTGATTTCAACAAATCAGCAAATTCTGATTAAAAAAGCGTTTCAGCAGTTTTTCTGCCCAACTCTAATTATTATAGACCAGGGGTGGGCAAACTGTTTTAATCCGGCCCTCGAGCTCCCACTGGGGAGCAGGGTCTGGGGCTTGCCCTGCTCCAGTGCTTAGCCGAGGAGCAGGGTTGGGGGCTGCTCCACGCAGCTCCCAGAAGCAGCGGCATGGCCCCCCTGCGGCGCTCCAGCCAGGGAGCAGGGTCAGGGGCCGCTCCACACGGCTCCTGGAAACAGCGGCATGGCCAGAGGCCTCCACTCTGCACGGTGCCCCCGCCCCAAGCACCGCCCATGCAGCTCCCATTGGCTGGGGACCACAGCCAATGGGAGCTGCAGGGGTGGTGCCTGTGGATGGGGCAGCGTGCAAAGGCCGTGCCTCTGAGTAGGAGCTGGAGAAGGGACATGCCGCTGCTTCTGGAAGCAGCTTGAGGTAAGCGCCACCTGGAGCCTGCATCCCTGAGCCTCTCCCCATGCTCCAACTCCCTGCCCCAGCCCCACCCCAGAGCCCGCACTCCCAGCTGGAGCCTGCACCCCTTCCCACACCCCAACTGCCTGCCCCAGCCCTGATCCCCCTCCTGCCCTCCAAACCCCTCGGTCCGAGCTCAGAGCACCCTCCTACACCCCACACTCCTCATCCCCAGCCCCACCCCAGAGCCTGCACCCAGCCAGAGCCCTCACCACCCCCCCACATCCCACTCCACCACCCCAGCCTGGAGCCCTGTCCCGCACCCTGATCTCCTCATTTCTGGCCCCACCCCGGAACCTGCACCCCCAACCAGAGCCCTCACCCCCCCCACACCCCAACCTCCATTTTGTGAGCATTCATGGCCCGCCATACAATTTCTATTCCCAGATGTGGTCCTTGGGCCAAAAAGTTTGCCCACCCCTGTTATAGACTATTACTCAACAATGGGGTGTTAGGGGGCTTTCCTTGTTTATCATATATATTTTGAAATATATATTATAAATAAACAAACATATTTGATAATATGGTACAAAAATCACTTTTTGAAATTGCAATACTAATGGAAAAACTGAAATCTGTTTTTTTCACAAATAAATGTATTAATACAAATTACTTTCAATCCTTTTGGTTGATTTATAGGTGTCATTTTGTGTACTTCAGCAAATTCCTTAGCTCTTAATAGAACAATCATTTTTTAAACATTGAGGAAAACATATCAAAAACACTGCATTTGTAATTGAATATGAATATCCTGTTCTGACATAATTTGTCTTATTTTTGGTTTAGGGTGATATGGGATTGCTGGGCCCAAAGGGATCAGTAAGTATGATGAACTACACTGTTATAGAAAATCAAAGGTATAATAAATTGCGTGGATCGTTTTCTGGTTTAGGAAACAGAGTACAAATATTTAGCTCTTCAAGAACTGTCGTGTAAGCAAATGAAATCCCACACTCATTTTTTGTTTTTAAAATTCTGCATGACTCTAATATACAGACTAACTTTGAATAGGAATTCTCATCTTGCAAATTAAACCCTGTAAAAGAACATGGTAGTTTTATTTGCAATTAGGATACGACTTGTGGATATGTCAGTTTGGAGAGTGAGTGATATTGCATAAAAGCACTGGCAAGACGGTGTCCTGCAGACAGTTTATAGTCTTTCTTCTATGACAGTTCTGGCTATTGGGTTATAATGTCTTTGAAAACAAAATTATTTCTGGTACCAATCCCATGTACTACCTTATCCTGAAATTAAAGATAGTGGGCTGATGGGAAGCCTAGCAGAAGCACCTTATGTACCATAGAGGAAAAAGAATAGGAGATTTCATCTTGATCCTTTATTTTTGGATCATCCAAGGTTGGGAGTATTACTGTAGCTGAGGGATTGGTCTGTAACAATAACTGTTCTTACCATGAGAAACTGAGGATGGATATAAAGAAAAGCTCTGCCAGCATCCTCAATGGAAGGTGGAATCGTGGGTCTGAAAAAGCCTTCTAACAAGCACTAGAATCAGGAGCTTTAATGGAATAAATGAAACATGGGATCTTCCAAGGCAGTGGGTCTCAAACTATTGTACGGGTGACCCCTTTCAGATAACAAGCCTCTGAGTGCGACCCCCTCATATAAATTAAAAATATTTTTTTATATATTTAACACCACTATAAATGCTGGAGGCAAAGCAGGGTTTGGGGTGGAAGCTGACAGCTCGTGACCCCCCATGTAATAACCCCATGACCCCCTGAGGGGTTTTGACCCCCAGTTTGAGAACCCCTGTTCTAAGAACTGCTGCCTAAAATCACACAGTTCCCTTACTGTGGCCCTAGACTGATCATCTTGGTGAGTGGTCCCGCAATGGAGAGACAAACTTGGCAATTGGTCAGATACGGTGAGAAAGAGAGACTGGGGCAATGCAGAGCCTTCAGGATTGGGAGAGCGTTGGTAATAAACATGTTAAAGCCTACTTGCTGGATTTCCTTTGTGCAAGTCCAGTAGCCTTTAAGATAGCTCCATCTTGTGGGTTTAACAGAGATCACATACGGGTAATTTACCACATTTGTGGGCATCCCCTTGAGTTGGGAAGTTCCTTGTTTTTGATAGATTTGTGGATGCCTAAAGTGCTTGGGTATTTATTTATTATTTTATTGTAGTAGCACCCAGAGCACCAGACAGGTCAGGGCCTCATTGTGCTGAGTGCTGCACAAACATATGAGTGAGAGACCGTCCCTGACCCGAAGAGTTTATAGTCTAAGCCTGCACTCCACTAGAAAGTGTTTGCCCATATTCCATATAGCCGTATAGATATACCGGCAACCCCCTTCCTTCCCTCCTCCCGCCGGGGGAGACACAGCTCATCTACACTAGGACCTGCTATGTCAGGGTTTGTGTGTGTGATATTTTCATACTCCAAACCAACATAGCTATGTCGGTAAAACTTTAAACTGTAGACCAGGCCTAAGGCCCCTGCAATGTGTGTGCAAGGCAGAGTTCTGTGCCCAGGCTGAACCCAAATGAGGTAAACAAACTAACAACCCCCCCGACCTTCTCAAACTCCTCTGCCTGATCTCCTTGGCCCTCCATGTGGGCTTAAGGGGCTGACTGTAGGGCTACCATATGTCCGGATTTCCCCGGACATGTCCAGCTTTTCGGTCTATAAATAGCCATCCGGGGGGGGATTTTTAAAAATCTAAAAATGTCTGGGATTTCCCCCCGGTCGGCTATTTATAGACAGAAAAGCGGTGGCCAAGCGCCGCTGGGCACCCAAAGCCCCTTCCCGGCTCCCCCCATCCCCTGCAGCCTTACCACGCTGTCCGGCCCGCAGCTGCCTTCCCCCTCCTCCACTCCCCTGAACACTCCGCCCACCTGCTCCTCCCCCTCCCCTGCTTCCTGCAGGGGCAAGTAGGAGGCAGCAGCAGGTAAGCTGGGGCAGGGGGGCGCGAGGAGGAGAGCTCCGGGGAGGCGCGGCCCTGGCCGAGCGGCTCCTTCCGGCCCGGGCCGAGCGGTGCCCGGCGGCCCCAGCGGCTCCGGCCCAGCTCAGGCCCCAGCGGCTCCGGCCCCGGTTCCGGCCCCAGGGTGGCGACCCCGGTTCCGGCCGAGCACCCCCGGCCTGGCCCAGCTCAGGCCCCAGCGGCTCCGGCCCCGGTTCCGGCCCCAGGGTGGCGACCCCGGTTCCGGCCGAGCACCCCCGGCCCGGCCCGGCTCGGGCCCCAGCAGCACCGGCTTGGGCCCCGGCCCGGCTCGGGCCCCAGCAGCGCCGGCCTCGGCTCCGGCGGCTCGGGCCCCAGCAGTGCCGGCCCTGGTTCCAGCCGAGCGCGCCGGCCCAGCCCCGGCTGAGCACCTCCGGCCCAGCCCCAAGCCCCGCAACCCGGGCCGGAGTGCAGCCCGATTCCTGGGCTCTTTAAAGCCGGCCCTGGTCAGGGGACAGGGAGGGGGGGTTGGATGGGTCGGGTGTTTGGGGGAGGGGCTGTCAGGGGGGCAGGGGTGTGGAGAGGGGTTGGGACAGTCAGGGACAGGGAGCAGGGGGGGTTAGATGGTTCTGGGGGGGCTGTCGGGGGGGCAGGGGTGTGGA